AGAACCACCGCCCCGCGAAGCGCGGACGCGGTGCGAAACTCCCACTCCCTTTCCATATAGTATCTCTCTATCTCTCTCTCTTCCCTCCCTCCTTTCCCCCCCCCCCCCCCCCCCCCCCCATCCCGCCCTCCCTTTCCTCCCCTGCCTCCATCCCCCGCCCCGCCCCGCCCCTCCCTCTCTCTCTCTCTCTCTCTCTCTCTTTCTCTCTCTTCCTCTCTCTTTCTCTCTCTTTCTCTTTTTTTTTTTTTTTTTTTTTTTTTTTTTTTTTTTTTTTTTTTTTTTTTTTTTTTTCTCTCTCTCTCTCTCTCTCTCTCTCTCTCTCTCTCTCTCTCACTCCTTTTTTTTTGTTTCTCTCTCTCTCTCTCTCTCTCTCTCTCATCTCTCTCTTTCTTTGCTTTTCTCTTCTCTTTCTCCTTTTTTTATTCTCTCTCTCTCTCTCTCTCTCTCTCTCTCTCTCCCTCTCCTCTCCTCTCCCTCTCCCTCTCCCTCTCCCTCTCCCCTCCTCTCTCCTCTCTCTCTCTCTCTTCTCTCTCTCTCTCTCTCTCCCTCTCTCTCTCTCTCTCTCTCTCTCTCTCTCTCTCTCTCTCTCTCCTCTCTCTCTCTCTCTCTCTCTCTCTCTCTCTCTCTCTCTCTCTCTCTCTCCTCTCCTCTTTTTCTCCTCTCTCTCTCTCTCTCTCTCTCTCTCTCTCTCTCTCTCTCTCTCTCTCTCTCTCTCTCTCTCTCTCTCTCTCTCCCCCAGAGGGGCCCGTCGCGCGGAACCCTGGGGGGCGATGGGCGACGGGGGGTGGTGGAAGGGGGGGGGGGGTGGGGGGGGGGGGGGGGGGGGGGAGGGGGGGGGGGGGGGGGGGGGGGGGCCCGCGCCCGACGGTCCTCTGCGTCTGCGTCGATCACTCGAGCCCAGTTGAAGAAAGCATTGATCCTGAACGGCTTGGCACATGCGATGTGGTGCTCGTCGCCGAAATCGGTGGTGAAAGAAACAGTGCTGTTCAAGGTCTGGACGCAGCGTGCCCATCCGCATGCCAAGAAGTGTCGATGAAGAAGGCAATGCATTTTGTGTTTGACTCCAGCACCCGCCGACCCCAAACCACAAGGCGTGCGCGCAGTGTATGCCAATTTGCTTTTCACAAACGAGACGGCATCGGCCAACTCGGCGTTCACGTCGCCATCGTCGTCGTCTGGGTCGGTCGCCTGGGCACTCGTCGCCTGGGCAATGAATGTCGTGTAACGATGCAAATCGAGCATGTCCGACTGAGTGACTTTGCAGATTCAAGTGTTGAGTTGGTTTTGTTTTCCCACTGGGCTGCTATCGCAGCTCTGGCACACAGAAACAATGTTCCCTGCCATGATGCGCTCGTTCTCATCGCGCATGTGCAACAAGACGGCAACGTCCAAACTGAGCTTGTGCCGCTTGAGAGTGGAAGGCGACGGCGCCGCGTCCTGCCGGGCGCCCCAACCGACCCTGGCGGCCAGACGTCGAGGCGGAGGGAGAGGAGAAGGGGGAGGGAGGGGGAGGAGGGCGGGGGGGCGAGGGGGAGGAGGGAGGGGAGGAGGGGGTGGTCCAAGAGGAGGGGGGGCCGAGGGAGGAAGGGGGAGGAGGGGGGGCGGCGAGCCAGGCACGACCCCCAGGAACCACATTTCTCGATCCAACGGTCCTTGCTCAAAACGTTTCTGACCAGGGTATCAGCGATTGACGGGGGGGCTACTACCCTGATGGAATGAACGATGGCGTCTTTCAGCTTATCGTAGTTATCAATTGAGGACGCCATCAACAACGCACGCAATAAACATGGAAAGTCGTAGCCCCATTGCCTGATGAGGAAAACTTTGTTTGATGCGGGGCTCGAGCTCGAGGACATGCTGCGCGCCCAGTCCACGCAATGTTCCCACTCCTCTAACTCAGCTGGAGTTGGATCAGGGATGCGGCCAACCGCTGTGCACGCAGCTTGGGTGACTCGTTTCAACGTGCCCTCGTTCATTTCGGGATCCCATGGAATTGACGAGCTGCACGGCTGGTCGGGCTGGTCGTGCTCCTTGTTCCGCTTAGCTCGGGCACGATGGGACCTGTCGTTAAATTCAAGCATGCGGGACCCTGGCGGCAACAGTGCTTCCAATCGCCCCCGGGGACTTCTAGGATTGAAGAACTTCGCGCTCCTGCCCTCCAGCGGCCAAGCATGCGCGCGCCAGCCCCCTTCCGCTCTCCCCAGCAACGCGCCGTGAGCAACAATTGGAAGCTGGAGGCCTAGATCTGGCACTTCGCGTGAGATACCGCACGTCTCGGCCCGGGCCGCGAGCTTGTCCGAGACCGCCCTGCCCCGCCCCGCCACCCCTGACCCATGTTCAGCCCCGCCCTCCGCCCCTGTTTCGATCGCCTGCGAGTCGGGCGAGGAGGGCGAGGTAGAGCGGGGCAAGAAGAAAGAAGCGTCGGAAGCCCGGGGGGCGGGGGGGGAGGCGGGGCAATGAAAGGGGGGGGGGGGGGGGGGGGCGTAGGAGCAGGAGCGGGCTCTGAGGAAGACAGGGGGCCCAAAGCGCCGCCGCCCCCGCCCGCCTCCAAGTAGCCGCGCAATCGTTGGCCACGTTCTGCGGCACGACGAACCATAGAGTCCTGGCAGGCGCGGGAAGTGCGGCCAGGGTGCGCGAAAAGAGGACGGCGAAGGTTGAAGGTTGTGCTCAATGGTTGGGGGATCTCACGTCCGATTGGGGACGGCCGTTGCTCTCCGCGGATCAAGACAGAGTAGGGCGACGAGAAGGAGGTGGGCGGGGGGCGGGCGAGGCGGAAGCGACAAGGGCGACGGAGAGGGCGCGCCGGCTTGGCAGAGGCAGCGCGCGCGCAGAGAAAAGAATCGGTTGGCCGGGCGCGCGAAGATGGGGGGCGGGGTTACAGAAGAAGGTCAAGGCAGGGTTGGGGAAGACGGCAACGACGACAAGGGCGAGGAATGCCGAGGCGGGCGACGACGAGGGGGGCGAAGCGGAGGATGATGCGCCTCTCCTTCCTACACGTTCTGTGCCACACCTCTTCGTTCTGACTGTTTTAGCCAGCGATCCCGAGTCGCCGTCTCCATGCAGGATCTCTCAGAAGCTCCTCTCTACATCTTCCCCCGCTCGACTCAGAGGGCCCCACTCCGCCTCGTCGTGATCCCCCTTCCCCCCCCCTCCCACGACGGGGCGGCGCGGGGGTCCTTGGGCGGTCGCCGGCGCGAAAGGTGCCCGGCAACATAATGTAGTCAACGACCTTCATGAAGGCCAAAGTTTCTCCTGCGGGCCCCGGAAAAGCAGCCATGGCAAAAAAACGTCGAACGAGAGAGCTTGATCCGAGTGGCGCCCGGCGCCGTTCGGATCGAGCTCTCTCGTTCGATCGCACAATGGAACAGCAAACCTGCCCGTTCGATCAGTTCGATCCTGGAGCTATCAAATCCCAACATTCTAATACTTCGTCCTGCTCAGCCGTGAGGACTCGGAACTTTGAACACGCGCGACCGGGGCGATGCGCAAAATCAGCGTCCATTAACCCAAGCCCCGCCAACTTGTGCCGGCAACTTCGGAAACATGTGCCCCAGAACGCGGTGCACACGTGGCCGTCGGGGCCGCGCGAAGGAACATCTCGGCCTCCCCATGCCAGCCGCACCTCATCTTGGCACCGTGTAGCTCCCCCGCCTCCCATCTCAACATGCCCAGGCACGTTCCGACTGCGGTGTCTCGCCCAAGACCCTTTTCGAGGGTTGACAAAAGTGCCCCTGGCCCGAGGTGCCCCCAGCTGTTCGCGCAATTTTGGGGCCCCCGGGGCCTGGAGGTCCAGGGGGCACTTCGGGCCAGGGGCACTTTTGACAACGCCCGCCAGTCCCTGTCACTCATGCACCCCCCCACCCCTCCCACCCCGCCCGCCGCAGCAGATCTTGTGCAGGCGGTCTCTCTGCCGATCCGTCCAGCCTCTCCGCCATCGCCGGGCGGCCGCTGGGCTCGGCAGATACGTCCACGCCACCACGGGCGTGGCAGCCAAACGGCTGGCGGCGAAATCGCGGCCTGCGCGCTCCCTCCTTCCCCGTCTACCGCCCCGTCCAAGGCGCTCGGCCATTGAGAGAACCATTTCTGGCTGGGCCCCTTGGGGGCCCGTGGGCCTGTGCGCCCGCGCTCTCGGCCATTGGAAGGTCATGCATGGCTGGGCCGCCCCTCTGGGTACCTAAGGCGTCGAAAAATCGTTTCTGGATGAGCATCCAGGAATCCAGGAAACTCGGGCGATTCGTTGCGTGATTCGACTGCCCCCCCTGGGGAGTTCGAGCGTCGAAAAAGGATCGGCTTGGGCTGAGCATATCATTATTTCTGGCGTTCTGTTGCAATAATTTTCTCTGACCACCCCTCTTGGAATCTCCGTCGTCAGAAAATCGTTTCTGGCTGGGCGTCCAGGTCGCTCAGTCGCTCGGGCGGTTTTTTGCATTATTTTTCTCCGATCTGGGGATCTCGATGGTCGAAAAATCGTTTCTGGCTGGGCGTCCAAGCACCCAGGTCGCTGGGGCGATGTTTTGCGTGACTTCTCTCCCGCCACCCCTACTGGGATCTCGGTCCAAAAAAAAAATCTATCTGGCTGGTCATCAAGTTGCACGCGCTCGATCGCGTGAACAAGTAAGGCCCAGACAGAACTTCGCTTAGATGACCTTTACTGCGGGCTTTACCACCTCCTCCTCCTCCTCCTCCTCCTCCTCCTCCTCCTCCTCCTCCTCCTCCTCCTCCCTCTAATCTCGCGCGCGCGGCCCTCCAGGCAGGCACAGGCTCTCCGCACCCGAGGCCTCTCTGGGCGAGGCGTGGGGCAGGAGAAGCTGGAAGATGAGAGGGCAGGGACAAAGGGGGAGGGCGGGGCGAGGACGACGACGACGACGAGGACCGCGTGGGTGGCAGTGGGGGTGGTGACCTTCGTGTGGGACTAGGACGGAAGAGGAGGGACCCATTTGGGGGCCCTCTTCTTCACCCCCCGTGCAGGTCACCCCCAATTGCCACCCACCCGAAAGGACGGGCCGGGGGCTGGGGGAGGGATCCGAGACAAGGCGCACGCGCCCGGTGAAAAAAAAACACAACACGCCCCGATCTAAGGGGGGCAGGCCGCCCAGCCACTGCAGCGAGCGCGCTGCACAGCGCGAGCCGGTTCAGCCAAGCCGTCTCGACTGGAGGCCTCCCAAATTTGGCCGGAGCACACGGATCGGCGCCGCATCGCCGGTGCACTGGCGATGCGCTGGTGACGGCGGGGCGGAGAAGAGCGGGCCCCAACGCCGATGCATCGGCGATGCGGCGCCGATCAGCGGGCGAGTGCTTGATGGGGGGAGCCCAAACGGGGAGTGAAGAAAAGGGAGCCCCCTGCGGGGGCCCTTTGGGGCCCCTTCTGGACCCCTGCTGGCACCCGAAAAGGGGCCCCGAAGGGCCCCTTGAGGGCCCTGTTCTTCACCCCCCCTTTTGGGCCACCCTCCAATAGCACTAAGTCGGGCCTGTCCCCCTACAAGGGGATTGTGGACGAAAAACATAAAAGATATGCAACAAATGCTCCGAAAAGATGCCCCACAAACATTCGAAAAGTAGCCCCCATACTGTTTTTTGACAACTTCTGAGCCTTCCCCCTGTAGAGGGACGGGCCCGACTTAACCACAGCACTCGCCCGAGTTTAGCCGACCCCAGCCGCCCCGGCCCCAGTTTTGGAGCCTCCCGCGCGGCGCCGGTGCGGCCAAATTGAAGGGGCCCCAGGACACACAAATAAATACACACAAATAAACATATTCCCCATAGTTTCCCATATTTTCTGGGTTTCTGTCTTCCCCCCCACTTCCCATATTTTCCTATATTTTCTGGGGAATCGAGAATTAATTGTGTCTGTGTGTTTTTTCCTCTCCTGACAAATATCTGGGGGGGGCGGCTGCGCTGGCAGGCGCGTCGCGCTGCCGAGGCCCGGACCTCCGGGGGACTGGATTTTGAAGGGGCCCGGGGACACACAAGTCAAGAGACACCCACGACACCCAGGGTTCCCCATATGTTTCCATGCTCTTCTGAGGCTTCGTCTTCCCCCCACTTCCCGTAGTTTGCCCCATTTTCGCAAGGATCGACGGTTACTTGTGTCTGTGTGTTTGGCTCTTCCCCTCCTGAGACTTATGCTTTATGCTCAATCCCACACCTCCAACGCGTTGAACACCAAGACGGCGTTTCTGTCTGCGCTCTTCGGCCTGCAGGAGACGCTTTCGGGCTCGGGGGCCGTCAAGAAACGATCGCGGGATGAAAAACTGGCTTGGAAAGGTAATAGGGCCTGGCGCAACCCCGAGAAGGAGAACGCCGCTTCCTAATTAAGGAATTTACTGAAGTGTGAAGGTATTGCTTGGCATTGCATTGCTTGGCGCTGCCTGGGATTGTTTGCTGATGCTTAGCAAAGCTTGGCATTGCTTGGGATTGTTTAGCAGTGCGTGGCACTCGGTGCTTGGCATGTGTTAGCACTGTTTGGCATGGCGTTGCGTTGCTTGCGGTTGCTTGGCAGTACCTTTCATTCTCCTGGTGTCGTTTGGACACGAACGAAGACCACCTATTCCTAGGAAGACGACAATGAACCACGACCATGGAGCCCGCGGAATGCAGCACAGATCCTAGACCAAGGAACCCGAGAATACAGCAAGGAACCAAGACCTACAAACCCGAGGAACGCACCAAGAAACCAGGACCAAAGAACCCGAAGAACGGCAAAGCACGCGCCATCAAATCGCCGGCCTCGCACCCGCAGGAGTCTTCCACAGAACAAGCAACAACCCTTCAAGCAAGCCGAATCGGGGACGACCACAATATCGGAGGTCTGGATTCTAGGGCTCATTACCTTTAGGTCGGGCATGGCCTCCGACAGGCGGATGCTGGGCGAACTGTTGAACATACCCAACAAATAATCAAAAAAAGCCACACCATGCTCAAAACATCGTCCCCAGACAGTTGTGTGACCACTTCGGAGCTCTTCCTCCTGTGGAGGGACAGGGCCCGACTCGAGGCTGCTGCCCTCCACTTGCAGCCCCTGGGAGGCCGCCGCCTGCGGGCCACCACGGGCCCTCCTCGACAGCCGAGCCTGGCATGGCGGAGCCCCCGCGGCGGGGCCCCGACCTGGGAACATGCCTCCCAGTCGGCATCCTTTGGCAGTGCAGCGTCTTGCTTGGAGGAGGAGGAGGAGGAGGAGGAGGAGGAGGAGGAGGAGGAGGAGGAGGAGGAAGAGCTGCTTGGCGTGCCGCGGCATTGGTCTTCCTTGCATTGCATTTGCGTTGGTTTGCATTGCTTGGCATTCCGTTGCTGCGCCGGGCGTGGATTTGCATTGGCTGGTGCTGCTTTGCATTGCTTGGCGTCGCTTGGCATCACGTCGTTACGTGCACATTTCGTTGCATTGCTTGCATTGCTTGGCATCGCGTGGCATTGCTCAACATTCCGTTGTATTGCTTGGCCCCGTATGGCATTACCGAGCACTGCTTGGGACTGCTTCAAACCAAATGAAGAAACGAGACCAGGAAGCCGGGGGAACCCGAGGAAGGCCAACCCTTCAAGAACCAGCGGGGCATCAAACAGCCATGGGACCCCGGGGAAACCCCGAGGAGCGCGAGACCTCGCCACACTGAGCGACGCCCCCCGCAAGGAGCGCAGGGCCAGGGGACTCCCCGAGGCACCCCTCGTGCAAGGCCCCGCGACCCGGGGAATCCCCGAGGCACGCTCGGGCCAGCCGCGCCCGGCACCCGCTGGCTCTTCACAGACAAGTATACAACAAGGGCTCGTCGTTCCAGCATCCCGGGGCGCCGTCGTCGTCGTCGCCGTCGTCGTCGTCGTCGTCGTCGTCGTCGTCGTCGTCGTTGTGGTCGTCGTCGTCGTCGCCATCGCTGTTGTCGTTGCTGCTGTCGTCGTCGTCGTCCTCGTTCAGGGTCGGCGGCAAGGCCTCTCCAGAATGATCAGGAAGATGGTCACTCAACCAATCTGGGCCAGCTTCCTGGACGTTCCTTAAACCAAGCCTGGGTAAGCTTCTGTCGTTCGCGCTGGAGGGGCGAACATGCTCAAGAGACATGGCCGGCTGCCTGCCAAGCTGGTTGAGAAGCGCCGGCCCAGACTTTCTGGAGGCGGTTTCTGAATCAGACGCTCGACTGTAGAGGAACCCCACAAAGCATAAACATAAACTTGTGACGGTCCGCGCGGGTTTCTTGGACCCGAGCTGGACCCCCCCCAGTGCGCGGAGTGCGCCAAGGTCGGCGCCAGAAGCGCCGCCAGTGAGTCCCAGCGCAGATCTTAGAACTCCGCACGGACCGCCAACAATCTATGCTTGTGCCGCTCACTGCTCTTCGACACCAAGAGCTCAGTGGAAAGGCGCCCCATCCTCGACGGCAAAGCCCGCGGGGGGGAAGGGAGCAGGGGCGGTTCTCGGAAGGCTCGGACGCCCCGAGGCCTCCCGAGAAGCTGTCCAATTAATCCCCCGAGGACGCAGGCAGCTCCTCGGACGGCGCGAGGGCTTCCCAGAAGCCCCGCCGCCTTCTCAGAAGGTCTTCTCCTGTGAGGGGCAGGCTCGAACCTCGAGGCTTTCGGCCGTTTTCGTCGGCTCCGGGCGGCCTGGCAGCCTCGGGCCGCCCTCCAGCGGCTGTGCCTCCGCTAGAGAGCGCGCCGAGGCTGCCCGGAGCGCCCCGGGCGGCCGCCGGAGTGCCGAGCTGACCCGGGACCATGGGGCAACGTTCGGGGGTGGCCCGCTCAGGGGGGGAGCATCGACCTGGACTTGGCGATGCGTCGCCGACAGATCGACGATACGTCCCCGATAGCACACCCTCACGCTCCTGGGCGGGCTGAGACTGTCTGGCCCCCATCGGCGATCAATGGGCGGTGGGGGGTCGATGCATCCCCCCTGTGCGAATCCCCCTATCGCTGCCCCTGAGGATGGCGAGGCAAAACCGAGTTCCACAACGACAGCCGCTCAAAGGCTCTGCTCGTCCTCGTCCTGGTACTCCTGCGGGAATGCACAGGGACGACACAGACGTAACCCTTCGGAGGTCCTCGAAGGATTCTTGGGTCGACGCTGATCCTGATCCTGATCCTCTTCCTCCTCCTCCTCCTCTTCCTCCTCCTCCTCCTCCTCTTCCTCCTGCTCCTCCTCCTCCACGTCCTCCTCCTCCTCCTGCTCCTCCTGCTCCTCCTCCGCCCTCCTCCTCCTCCTCCTCCTCCTCCTCCTCCTCCTCCGCCCTCCTCCTCACCCCTTCCCTGGCGGGCAGACTGCGCTGGGGGGCACCCACAGGGGTGTGGGGAGGGCGGTCCAGTGCCGACCAAGAGATCCGCTTGGACCTCCGAAAACATGTGTTGAAAGGACTGCTTCGGTATAGGACGATGCCAACTACCCACCGGTCGAAAGAAGTAGGTAGACACATGAAGTAGGAAAGCGTTGAAAACAGATTGGGTGTCCGCCGGCCCCCTATGGAGGACGGAAAAGGTGACGCCACTAGATCATTGAAGTAGAAAGGCGCTTAAAGTAAACTGGAATCTGGGAATCCAAAGATGCCTACTTTCAACGACCGATGGGTACGCGTGTAAACACCAGCCCTGGGCATGTCTATCCTGGGGCCCGATTCGGTGTATTCGTCCCCCCTAGCTTGGCCCAGGATGGGCCTGGCCAGGGTCGGTGCACACGCGCAGTTCTCGCCGCCCGAGAGCACTGTTCTCTCCCTGTCCTCCCACAGCGTGCCCACGAGAGCGGTCACCAGCTTGAACAGCTGCCTGTTCTGGTGGAGCATCATGTGTATGTCGACGCTCTTCGCTTCGCCTCTGAACTTCCGCATCCCGCTCGTGAACTCAAGGATGTCGACGGTCCCGCTGCCGTCCCTGTCCAGCATCTGGAAGAACATCTTCGCGTCGGTGATCTCGACCTCCAGCGCGGAGACGTAGTCGCGTACCTCTTGGTTCTCCAGGGCTTGCAGAAACTCTTCAAACGTGATCTCCTGATCTCCGTCCTTGGAAGCACAACAGCGGTTCTCCTGTAAACCTTCGGGTCGGCGCTGGGCCCCCCTCCTTGGCGCGCGGAGCGCGCCGAGGGGCCCAGCGCAGATCCAGGACATCCGCGCGGAGCTCCGACAGCCTATGTTAAGTTGTTGCTCATGAGCGTTATGTAAGCTTATGTTAAGCTTATGTTAAGCTGGTTGTTCATGAGCGTGCATAAGCTTATGTTAAGCTTATGCCAAATTGCTGTTCCTCTTCCAGTCCTGGTCCATGAGCGTCAGCAATTCGATTGCGTGGCGCTCCTTGTCCGCGTGCTCCTCCAAGTACTTCTGCATCATTGCGCCGCGGTCGCGCTTGGAGAGTTCGATGGCACCGTCGACAAAAATCCCGTTCACGATGTTGTGAACCGATGATGATGGCGAATGGAGTAGCAATATAGAGGACTTTCCCTACATAAGAAACTAAAAAACAACGTTGAACCCTTGGTAGATTTTCTGCCTGAAGAATCGACTCCCAGCTCGTAAGCCGGACAGTGACAATACATGGATTAACGACGACGGTGAACTAGGATTGTGAGTGAGAGGAGGAGAATACGCTACACACATGTATGATAATAAAGTATCTATATGTGTAAACATAAACAAGAGAGAAACGACAGGCATGCTGTGAACCGCAAAAACCATAAAGAACACGTAGCTGATCACAATGGCCTCGAGCATCCAACCTGGGCCACGCAGTGGCTGCGACGCCAATCCCCAGCTGATTCCTAGAGGGATTAAATGCATAAACATAAACTGTCGGCGGTCCGCGCGGACTGCCTGGATCGGCGCTGCCCCTCCTCCCTGGCGCGCGGAGCGCGGAAGGGGCGGCGCCGGAGGAACAGCCAGGGGAGTCCAACGCAGATCCAAGAAATCCGCACGGAGCTCCGCAGAATAATGTTGATGCCGGTTGTTGTTCTCCGGATTCCTCCAGACATGCACTGGAATAGGGTGTACATGGTGTCAAACAACGACCCGTACATGGCGACCACCTGCTTGTACTCATCGCTTGCGACGGGAGCGCGGGCGTCCCTGATGTACTCGGTGGCCCCCTGCGTGAGCACGACCGAGATCGTGTATATGAGCCCCACCATGATAACCAGGACCCAGAAAAGCGACTGGAGGGAGCTGATGATCATGTGCAACATAACTCGGAGCCTCAGTTGTTCTTCAACGTGCCAGACTGGTTCTCTTGTTTTAGCTGTCTTTGACCACATGCTTGTGTATCTCGGCCTGATCTCGACAAAAAACGTGCTAAAACAATGTAGCCCAGGAAGTGGGCGTCAGGAAGAGGAGAAGGAAGAGGATGAGGAGGATGGGGGGAGGGAGGCGGAGGAGGAGGAGGATTACCCCAGGAGGTGGGCGTCAGAAGAGCGGCTCTGTGATATCGGGGAAAGAGTACTCACAACACGCACTGCAAGCACGGACAGGCAGGTGGGCCGCGGGCGGACACCCCAGACCCGAACGCGTCACAGCAACAGCGGCGCCCTAAAACGTGTACAAGACACGCCGGCCTGCTAAAAGAACAACCCAAGACGCCCACAGAGTTGCCTTCATGATATGACAAACAGTCGGGGCTGATTGGGGAGGACACGCGAGAGGACACAAGACCCTTCCGAGGGCCCACCGCGCCACAGACAGCGTTTTCTTCAGTACAGTAGGGGCTTGCCAAAACGCCCACAGCGTTCCCTTCATTACAGTAGGGGCTCGACCACAAGAAACCCAACCCTGGATCCCCAGGACGTCCATTGATTTTTGGCGTGGGGACGTCACGCTTTCCATGGCAAACGCATCGAAACTCAAGAAACCTAGGGCACCCTGAAGGCAAGCAGGGTGTTTCTTGGCATGGGTCTCCTCTGTACATGTAGCAGATGATCGAACAACCACGCAGCATAACCACACTTTCTCTGAGGTCCGCACACACTTCCTGAAAACGAGCAAACCAACACAAACACAGCGTTTTCTTCATTCCATGTCGTAGATGATCCAACAACATCGTTCTAAACATACCTTCTCTGAGGCCCGCGCCCACTTCGTGGAACGACGCCGGGTCCCCGCAATGGCAGGCCCGGGCGGCGATCCAAGAACTCCACGCGAGGCCCTGCTGCCGAGGCTCCGCCGGGATGTCTCTAAGCTCGGAGCTGCGTCATTTTCCTCACCCGTCGTCGTCGGCCGTCGGCAGCCGTTCGCCGTCACTCGTCGTCGTCGTCGTCGTCGTCGTCGTCCTCGTCGTCGTCGTCGTCGTCGTTGTCGTCGACATCGTGGTCGTCGTCGTCGTCGTCGTCGTCGTCGTCGTCGTCGTCGTCGTCGTCGTCGTCAACATCGTCGTCGTCAACCGTCGTCGCCAACCCATTCGTCGGTCGCCGTCGTCATGATCCCACTCGGCGACTTTTGGTCGTCCGTTGTCGTCGTCGTCGTTCATCCCAAGAATAGCATAAAAATTAGCCTGGCGAAGGACCCAACCATATGCAGTCGTGGGTCCCGCCATTGTGAGTATCTTCTTCGGCGGCACACCTTATGGGGCCACGAAACGTGTGAGGGGGTGTGCCGAAATGGGTGTAGGGGACGCATGCGGGCGGCAGCACTGGGGCCTTCGGTGGAGCTCCCTATGGGGCCACAAAACGCGTGAGGGGTGTGCCGAAATGGGTGTATGGGACGCATGCGGGCGGCAGCCCTGGGGCCTTCGGTGGAGCTCCCTATGGGGCCACGAAGCGTGCGAAGGGTGTGCCGAAATTGATGTAGGGGACGCATGCGGGCGGCAGCACTGGGGCCTTCGGTGGAGCTCCCTATGGGGCCATGAAACGTGTGAGGGGGTGTGCCGAAATGGGTGTACGGGACGCATGCGGGCGGCAGCACTGGGGCCTTCGGTGGAGCTCCCTATGGAGCCACGAAACGTGTGAGGGGTGTGCCGAAATGGGTGTAGGGGACGCATGCGGGCGGCAGCACTGGGGCCTTCGGTGGAGCTCCCTATGGGGCCACGAAACGTGTGAGGGGTGTGCCGAAATGGGTGTAGGGGACGCATGCGGGCGGCAGCCCTGGGGCCTTCGGTGGAGCTCCCTATGAGGCCACGAAACGTGTGAGGGGTGTGCCGAAATGGGTGTAGGGGACGCATGCGGGCGGCAACCCTGGGGCCTTCGGTGGAGCTCCCTATGGGGCCACGAAACGTGTGAGGGGTGTGCCGAAATGGGTGTAGGGGACGCATGCGGGCGGCAGCCCTGGGGCCTTCGGTGGAGCTCCCTATGGGGCCACGAAGCGTGTGAGGGGTGTGCCGAAATGGGTGTAGGGGGACGCATGCGGGCGGCAGCACTGGGGCCTTCGGTGGAGCTCCCTATGGGGCCACGAAACGTGTGAGGGGTGTGCCGAAATGGGTGTAGGGGACGCATGCGGGCGGCAGCACTGGGGCCTTCGGTGGAGCTCCCTATGGGGCCACGAAACGTGTGAGGGGTGTGCCGAAATGGGTGTAGGGGACGAACTGATGGGGCCACGAAGCGTGTGAGGGGTGTGCCGAATTGGGTGTGGGTGACGATGATGACGATGATGACGCTGATGCTGATGCTGATGCTGATGATGATGATGATGATGATGATGATGATGATGATGATGATGATGATGATGATGATGATGATGATGCTGAAGGGGGGAGGAGGCGGAGGAGGAGGGAGGAGGAAGGAGAGGAACGCGGGGCACCGTCTCTTCAAAACGAGGACCCAACACCACAGGATGGTTGGGAAAAACGCCCTGGATCGGCGGCACTGACCAGAGACAATCTCTAAACTTATGTTGCTCCCATCGTACTTTAAGACCACATCCCAGAAACAATTTCGAGCACCCGGGAAAGTGTCGAAAGAGTGTCGAAACAGTGTCGGACGAGTGTTTCCCAGGGCCCGACACGTGAAAACCTTGGAGTTTCGGTACTTTTTTGGTGCTCGAAATGCTTTCTGTAGATCAGGGCTAAGAGTAGGTTGGAACATCATAACGCTAATAGAGGCCTCCTAGATGGGGTCGGAGTAGATGGGGTCGGAGGATCGCGCCGCATCGCCGATACATCGACGATGCATTGGCGATGCATCGGCGATGCATCGGCGATGCATCGTCGACTTCAGCGATGCATTGGCGACGGCGACGTGAAGCAAATCGGAGTCCACTTCGAGCCGCATCGGCGATGCATCGGCGATGCGGCGCGATCCTCCGACCCCATCTGCTCCGACCCCATCTAAGAGGCCTAGAGCTAAGCTCGGAGCTGCGTCATCTTCCGCACCACGCGGATGATGCTCGGGGATCCCTAAACGGGGACTCTGCTGCACCAGGGCGCCGGGGGGGGCGCGTCCGAGAGCACTACGGCCGCGGGCGGAGACCTACCTTCTCCATGCTCTGTCCTCCTCCTCCTCCTCCTCCTCCGTCCCCTCCTCCTCCTCCTCCTCCGTCTCCTCCTCCTCCTCCTCCTCCTCTTCCTCCTCCTCTGCCTCCGGGCGGAACTTTCGGAGCCCTGGCTCAGCGGCGTCCTGGCTTAGGGGGGCCCCCGGAGGCGCATGATGCGGAACAGCCGGATCGTCCTCCCCACCTTGCCGACGAGGCCCGCGTCGCCGTTGCCGGCGCCGAAGGCCAGGGTGAGGGCGGCGTCGAAGAGGCAGAGGCCCACCAGGAAGAGGTCGAACACGTTCCACAGGCGCTCCTGGAAACGTGTTGGGTCGGGCACGTCCTCCTACAGGCGGGTTTGGAGCGACAAATTAGGAATAGTCAAAACATATTTTAAAAATGGTCAAGAATAGAAAAACAAATCGTCCCCGTATCATTGTGTGATTCTTTCTGAAGGTTCCTCCTGTAGAGAGACATGCCCGACTTACGAATAGTGGTGAAATGGTATAAGCAAGCGATCAGGAACGTTTTGCTTCGCGTGTCGCGGCGGCGGCCCTGGCGGCACCCTATGTCCTGCAAGCGGATCGCGCGTCGCTTCGATCCGCGGGCCGGGAAGTTCAGGAAAGCTCTGCAGGCTGACGCCTGGGGACTGGGATGTGGTTAGCATGTCGCGCAGAAACGTGGTGGGCCAGAACCCGCGACACGACGCGATAAACCAAACTTCCTGACCGTAAACTTTCGGATCTCCGCGCGGACTTCTCGGATCGGCGCTGGGCCACCCTGGCGACGCCTCCAGCGCCGCCCCAGGCGCGCTCCGCGCGCAAGAGAGAGGGGCCAAGCGCCGATCCCAGACATCCGCGCGTAACTCCGAACATCTATACTTATGCAATATGTTCTTCTTCGAGCTCCCCTGCGTATGTGAAGAAATGCTGGCGGTGCACCGCCAGGCGCGCAATGAGCTCCACCGTAAAGACCAACGTGCAGCCGTACTCCAGCATCTCGAAGGCCAACACCTCCTCGTCCGAAACCGCGTTGTGCTGCACCTGCGCGCCTATGAGCAGCGCGTTCAGGATCACAACGATCGTGATAGCAAAATCGAATTGGTTGGACACCACTGCTTTCCCCACGCAGCCGTATGCAGACACGTGGTGATTCAGCCTGCCGAGGGTGCTCGCGTGCTTGAGGAGCTTGCCCCTCTTGTCCAGCTCCACGGAGAATTGTGACACGCGAGTCGCGAATCTGTTGCTGCTCTCTTCGATCTCGGCCTTCTCTATCTCCTGGGGCACTGCACAGCTCCATAAACCTGAGCTTCCGGAGCTCCGCGCGGATCTCTTGGATCGGGGCTGGCCCTCCCTCCCCGGCGCGCGGAGCGCGCCAGGGGTGGCGCCCGAGTCGCCGCCAGGGGGGCCCAGGCCAGATCCAGAACATCCGCGCGGAGCTCTGAAGGTCGATGCTTCGGTACTCTGTTCTTCCCCGATCTCCTGCAAGACCAGCTCGCCCTTGGTCATCTTCGAGGTCATGTTCCACTTGTGGGCCGTAGAAGCCTTCGAGCTGCTGCCCCACTCGGACCTCGCTGGCGCGCCAGGGGGGGGGGGTGCGAAACATTGGGCGGCTTCTAAGAAAAACCAGAGAACTCCTAAGATAATCTTCCGTGAGATCCTGGCGATGCGATTTTTCACACTGGGCGATTTTGCCTTGTTGCGGGCCCTCGGACCCTCACGGATCGATCCTGCTCGAAACATGCCGCAAGAAAATTGGGTCCAATAGGGCTCCGGTCGATGCTTGAACAAATTATCTTGTAGCTTTTCCGAGGCGTCGAAACTCAGAGCTCTCGCACAAGATGGAGGAGCCCCCCACATGCTCGTTCACGGGGAGGAGGAGGAGGAGGAGGAGGAGGAGGAGGAGGAGGAGGAGGAGGAGGCGGGGGAGGAGGAAGAGGAGCTGGATGATGATGATGATGATGATGATGATGATGATGATGATGATGATGATGATGATCCACGCATCCAAGAAGGTCTGGAGCTCCCCGCTCGATACAGCCTCCCGAAGCCATGGCCTTTCCCTATGGCGCTGCGGACGCAAGGCCTGACCCGTGCCCAAGGCACACTCGCAGACTCGCCTGAAAGCCTTGAGGCCGCCGACCGCCCCAGCCAAAGGCAGGCGGTCAGCAAACATCCGAGCCCTCACGGCGACTCAGCACGCAGACAGCTCGGCGCGCCACACCAGAGCAAAGTCCCCTAGGCACCAGGCCACAGACGGGAACGACTTGCTCTGAGGTGTCCATCGGAGGCGATCCTGACGGTCGGCCACAGCCTACCACCACGGTTCGGCCTCCGCCTGGCGCGGCACAGAGCACAGAGCGGGCTGGAGCGCAGCAGGCTGCGCGGGCTGTCGCGCCCAAGGGGCGCCAGCTGCTACATAAAACGGAGGCGCCGTAGGCGCCGAGCGTCAGACGCTGCCCAAGAGGGGCGGGAGGGAGTGAACCCTGGCGTGTGCCGAGCCCCACGGGGTACAGCCTACGCCACGGGGTCCCTCCCCCCCAGAGGCAGCAGCTCGGCGCAGGCATTCGTGATCCTTGGACCCGCCTGCGACCCGAGCAGATCTAGATGATCTCGCCTTCCACCGATGCTCTGGCCGAGGTGCAAGCTGGCCCTTGCTGCGCCTCAGCCCCGCGCCCGGCCCCACGGGGACTGCATCGTGTCCACCAGGCACGTGTCGACGAAGACTTGGCACAGCCGCTCGTCCGTCTCGGCACACTGCCAGAGCCACACAGCGTCCTCGTCGACCTCGTAATCGTCGAAGGTGTGCTCTTCACCTTCGGGGCCCTTGGCCCGCACCCTGTCGCCTCCGCCGCCATCCAGGAGCTGTGTGAAGCACGTGAAACCATCGTGGAGGTAGACGTCTGGCTGCAGCCTCGCACCCTGGTCGTGCACATGCCATCTCCGCACCATCGTCACCGCGGCGTAGGCGAGGCGCAGGGTTAGCAGCAGTGCCACTACTGCTGTCCATGGGCCGTTTCGTGCGCCGAGCTCCTGCTGCGGCACCCTCACGCGTCTCTGCGCGTGCTGATTGGGGGTTGTTTGTGCGGCCCCCCACCGCGCCAGGTAGTACCGCACGTCGCTGTTGCTCTTCTCCGCCGCGTAGGTGAGGGGGGGGCCTGCCCTGGTGCTCTGTGGAGCTCTGCAGGTTGCCGTGGGCCCCCAGCGCGTACGCGTCCGTGGGGCTCTTCTGGCCGCCCCTGATGCTCACCTTCGTCTCGACTATGTGCTGCTGCCTGCCCTGGCCCTCGCTGCGTGCGCCGAGCTCCTGCTGCGGCTCCCTCGCGCGTCTCTGCGCGCGCTGCTTGGGGGTTGTTTGTGCGGCCCCCCACCGCGCCAGGTAGTACCGCACGTCGCTGTTGCTCTTCTCCGCCGCGTAGGTGAAGGGGGGCCTGCCCTGGTGCTCTGTGGAGCTCTGCTGGTTGCCGTGGGCCCCCAGCGCGTACGCGTCCGTGGAGCGCTTCTGGCCGCCCCTGATGTTCACGTCCGCCTCGACGATGTGCTGCTGCCTGCCCTGGCCCTCCTCGGAGTTCTGCTGCTTCCCCAGGGTCCCCTGGGCGTCGCCGTCGTTCAGCTGCCGCTCAGCGTTGCCCAGCTTGCCCTCCTCGTCGTAGAACTCACGCTCCTTCAGCAGGCCGTCGGAGCCCGAGTCCAGGACGGGGAAGGCGGGGACCTGCGCGAGCGAGGGGTTCACGACGCGGTGCTCGCCGTTGGCCGCGCCCTGCTCCACGAACAGCACGCCCTGCTCGGCGTCCCCGTGGGCGAGCACGCGCACCTCGTTCACCACCTGCTCTATGCGCTCCAGCTGCTGCTTCAGCTGCTCCTTCTCATCGCGCAGCTCCTCCAAGTTCTCCTTCTGGGAGTTGGCGGCGCCGCTCTCCTGGTCGCCGCTGCCGTGGATCTCCGCCTGCTGCCCTCCACCCGGTTCGGCGCCATCGCCCGCCAGCCAGACCTCCAGCGCGGCGACAACGGCCTCCCCCTCGCGGGGATGGCGCAGGAAGCTGCCAGCCGCATCCAGCGCGCGGCAGCTTCGCTCGAGGGCCGACGGCATGCGCCGCCCTCTGGCGCGGAGCTCGGCAATCCCCTTGGCCAGCGTTGGGGCGCCCAGCATGGCCACCTGCTCGGCCGCCGCCCCCAACAGCGCCTGCGCGCGCTCGCCGAGCGCGGTGCGGGCTGGAGCAGCCTCCTCGGCCAGCGGAGTGGCTGCTGCAGGCTCCGCCTCCGCCGCTGGGCGCGCCGCTTGCAGGAGCTGCAGGAGCTCGGCGGCCTCGCCTACGGTCGCCCTGGTGACGAGCGCTGCGCCATGCCTGACTGACAGGCCTCCGCGCCCGCCTCTCCCCATCCACGCCCCGGCCTCCGCGCGCACCCCGGGGGCGGCGCGATGATGATGATGATGATGATGATGATGATGAGGAGGAGGAGGAGGAGGAGAGGAGGAGGAGGAGGGAGGAGCGAGGAGGAGGGGAGAGGAGGAGGAGGAGGAGGAGGGGAGGAGGAGGAGGAGTTCTCCCGGGTGTTCGTTCACAGGGGGGCAATCAACGGGAGGGGGGAGGAAACGTGTGCCTTCCGTGCACCCTGTGGGCCCCCTCTGAAGCAATACACCATCAGCAGGGCAGTCGTACCCCCCCCCCCTCAATCAATGGAAATGTATTCTTTGCTGCGCGGGATCCTGGACGAATTGGGGCCCCAAGTATACGGAAAGATAACAATCCCCCCGCGGCGGCCACCGCTGAGGATCGTGGGGGAGATGAAGGGACCTCTGATGGCAATGAGGCTGCTGAGGGGAAGGGCGAGGAGGGGAGGGACGAGCTTCCTTGCCAACCGAGAGCTCAGGGGAGGAGGATGAGAAAAAAGAGGAGGAGGAGGAGGAGGAGGAGGCACCATGAAAGACCTCCTGAGATGGAGGAGCACGCCAGGGCCGCTTGTTTCTGCAGTCCTCGACCACCCTCCCCACGCTCACTGCCCCTCCCCCCGCTTGCGGTCACCCCGACGGAGGCTGGCTCCTGGGCCCTCCCCAGGAGTCCAGCCCGGCCAGGCTGTTCGAGCCCGCGGCGCCAGGCACCCTCAGAGACGCCACGAACCGTCCAGCACGACGGTTCGACAGGAGGAGGAGGAGGAGGAGGAAGAGGAGGAGGAGGGGGAGGGAGAAGGGAGGAGGGGGGAGGGAGGAGGGAGGAGGAGAAGGGAGGAGGGAAGAGGGAGGAGGGAGGAGGGAGGAGGGAGGAGGGAGGGAGGGGAGGGGGGGGAAGAGGAGGCAGGGAGGAGGGGAGGGAGGCGGGGCGGGAGGGGAGGGAGGGAGGGAGGAGGAGGAGGAGGCGGAAGAGGAGGGGTCCATCCTGGCCAGAGTTCTTCGAGGCGCGTCCAGCCGTGGCCACGGGAACGTCCAGAAACGCCACGAACCTCTCCGGCACGACGGTTCGACTGGCCCCCATCCCGGGGTCCCTCCTGGACAGGTGCAGGTCCGACGCCGCGAGCAGGACGCAACCTCGCGACAAATCTCATCTTTTCTGGGGCATCTCTTCTGGGGCCCGCAGCCGGGCGCAGGCGCCCGGTGTGCGACACGTGCCGGGCGCCAGGATCTCAAGCTCTCTCGGGCAGCGCCATGCCGGTGGCGCTGGCAGCCTCCACGACAGCAGGGGCCTCCCAGAAGGGGGCCCGAGCAGAGGGGGTCGGAGGCTCGCGCCGCATCGGCGATGCATCGGTGATGCACCGGCGATGCATCGTCGACGTCGGCGACGGATGCATCGGTGACGTCGGCGTGAAGCAAATCGGGCTTCCGCATCGAGCCGCATCGCCGATGCATCGGCGATGCGGTGCGATCCCCTCCGACCCCACCTGCTCGGACCTCATCTAGGAGGCCTAGGGTCAGGCCGTGGCGCTGGGAACCTCCAGAAAGACGACAGGCCCCGACCCCTTCCCTGAGGTCAGTTTGTCCTCCTCCTCCTCCTCCTCCTCCTCGTCCTCCTCCTTCTCCTCCTCCCTCCTCCTCCCTCCTCCTCCCTCCTGCTCCTCCTCCTCCTCCTCCTCCTCCTCCTCCTCCTCCTCCTCCCCTCCTCCTCTTCTCCCTCCTCCTCCCTCCTCCTCTCCTCCTCCTCCTCCTCCTCCTCCTCCTCCCTCCTCCTCCTCCTCCCCCCTCCCTCCCTCCCCTCCCTCCCTCCCTCCCTCCCTCCCTCCCTCCCTCCTCCTCCTCCTCCTCCTCCTCCTCCTCCTCCTCCTCCTCCTCCTCCTCCTCCTCCTCCTCCTCCTCCTCCTCCCGCCCCCTAACGTACCCTGCGCGACCCCCGCGGCGAATGCTGGATCGCGAGGAGACTCAGGCTGTTGGTCGGCGACTCGTCGCCCGGCCTTCGGGGGGAGGCGAAGCGCCAGGTCGGGCCTGTCCTCCTACAGGAGGAGGAGGAGGAGGAGGAGGAGGAGGAGGAGGAGGAGGAGGAGGAGGAGGAGGAGGAGGAGGAGGAGGGAGGAGGGAGGAGGGAGGAGGGAGGAGGGAGGAGGAGGGGGAAAAGGAGGAGGAGGAGGATGATGATGAGGAGGAGGAGGAGGAGGAGGAGGAGTCATGAAAGACCACCTAAGGTGGAGGAGCACTTCAGGGCCGCTTGTTTCTGCAGTCCTCGACCGCCCCCCCCCACGCTCATTGCCCCCCCCTCCCCCCGCTTGCGGTCCGCCCGACCGAAGCTGGCTCTTGGGCCCCTCCGGGGAGAGTCCATCCCAGCTGGGCTCTTCGACCCCTCAGCGCTGGGGACCCTCAGAGACGCCGCGAACCCTCCAGCACGACGATTCGACTGGCCTTAGATCGGGCACGTCCTCCTACAAGCGATTTTGGGCACATTCAAAAATAATCAAACACCGGACATCGCACTAAGTCGGGCATGTCCTCCTGCAGGCGGAATTTGGAGGACAAGCAAAACATACACAAATCATATTCAAACACTATCTGACATGGTCAGACCATCGTCCCCCAACTATGTTCTGGCTATTTTTGAACACTCACCCTGTAGCGAGGGACGTGCCCGACTTGACCGAAGCACTGACATTTGGCGGCGCGCAGAGGGGGGTGGGGGGAGGGGGAAGGGCTTCTTAGAAGCAGGCTGCTTCTTAGAAGGCGCCGGCCTTACGTCTTTAGATAAGGCCCGCGCCTTCCAAGAAGCAGGGGTGCTTCTAAGAAGCCCTACCCCATCCCCCCACCCCCCTCTGCGCGTGGCTGAGACATTCTCGCGCCGCGAGGCAACACGTGTCGGCGGCGAGCGAGGGGGGGGACGCGAGAGGGCGAAGGCGGCCTCCTCGGAGGGCGGCGGGACTTCTGGGAGGCCCGCGCGCCTCCCGAAGAGTTCTGTTATCTTGAAGGGGCCCCAGGACACACAAATAAATACACACAAGTAAAAATCTTCCCCATATTTTCTTATATTTTCTGGGGTTTTGTCTTCCCCCCCACTTCCCATATTTTCCCATATTTTCTGGGGGATCGACGATTAATTGTGTCTGTGTGTTTTTTCCCTCCTAATGTTATCTGTGTGTCTTTCGGGTAGGCTTGGACGGCTTCCCGGCAAGCCGGGGAACTTCCAAGCCCTCTGAGATGGCCCGCCCCGTCTCTGGGGAAACCTACATCGTTGAGCAAGGACCGACCGTCCCGGCATTTCTATAGTCCTGCCACGAGTTCTAACAACAAGCAATGCTCTCAGAACATAAACCCGAGGTGATACAACAAGACAGACTCCGCCAGGCATGTTCTAAGAACATTTCGTGGAAACCACAAACAGGTTCTTAGAACATTGTTTGGTAGGGCTATAGGCGAGCCAAGACGCTTCGTCTCTAGGGAAAGGGGGCCCAAAGGTACCGATACCGCTACTCCCTGGACCGCTCCTGGTGTGCGTCCTGACCAGAATTTCACGGCGAATCCAACGGTGGCGACGCGGGCCTCCCAGGAGGCCCCGAAAGGGGAACACGGGCGAGGGGGTAGAGGTATGGGTCCCTTTTCCTCCTCGGAGTCTCGCTTCCCCCCCTCGCTCGCCGCCGAAGTCAGCAGCCGAAGGCTTGGGGCAACCCTCGCCAGGCCCTGGGGCCGCCACGTAGAGAACTTCGGGAGGGAGGGCAGGCGGTCCCGGGGCAGGGGCTCAGACCTCCGGGGAGCCGCGCTGCTTGCAAGCTCCCTTCGGGCTCCTCCTCCTCCTCCTCCTCCCCTCCTCCTCCCTCCTCCCTCCTCCTCCTCCTCCTCCTCCCTCCTCCTCCTCCTCCTCCTCCTCCTCCTCCTCCTCCTCCTCCTCCTCCTCCTCCTCCTCCTCCTCCTCCTCCTCCTCCTCCTCCTCCTCCTCCTCCTCCTCCTCCTCCTCCTCCTCCTCCTCCTCCTCCGGGTGGCTGCCCCAGACCGACAGCGGCCGCTGTCGGGCGGGCGGCTCTGTGTCTTCCAGGGCCAACGTCCGCGGCGGCGCGGGCAGCGAGTCCTGTTCAAAGTGAACAGGAAGTGCTGTCGGTCTTTGTACCCCTTCTCTCCGTACCCCTTTCAATCGCCCCGAGTCACGATGCCGGGGATGTCCGTGTGGCGCAAGTCGTGGCCCGCGGCATGTGCGCGGCCCGGGGTGGGGCCAGGGACGTATCGGAATGAGAGGAGGCGCCGTGAAACCTGGGGAGATCTCGTGGCCCTGGGGGGGCCGGGGAAGTATTGACCTGAGAAGAGGCGCCATGAAGCCTGGGGAGATCTCATGGCCCCCGCCACGACATCCCCCCTCCCCTAACCAGTCCTCGCCCCCCTCTTGGCCGCCCCCGACGTGAGGGAGGGGCCTTGCTAGGGGGGAAGCGCCCACCCGGAACACGACGCCCTCACACCCGGCGCCGTGCCTCCGACAGCGACGGGCCCACACGCTCCTGGGCAGGGGGGAGGGGCGGCACCCGGGCCCAGGGCAGAGACAGGCAACCGCGTGTGGCAAGGACGCGCGACGAGGAGGAGGAGGAGGAGGAGGAGGAGGAGGAGGAGGAGGAGGAGGAGGAGGAGGAGGAGGCGGAGGAGGAGGAGGAGGAGGAGGAGGAGGAGGAGGAGGAGGAGGAGGAGGAGGAGGAGGAGGAGGAGGAGCCGCGGATGCACTGGGAGGCCATGCCGACGCTTTGCGAGCGGGGCGCGGCCAGCGAAAGCGGCCAAGGGTGGACCGAGGAGGCAAGGATGCCAGGGGGTGCCCGTGGGAAGGCTGCCCACCCTCCCTATGCGGGCGGACTGTGGGGGCCCATGGCTCGACTGAAGGGGCCCATCCCCCCCCCCGCGAGCCAAGGCTCCCTTGCCGGCGCCCCTGTCGCCTCCGCTGTGGGGAGTCAGGCGCCGATGCGCTCGGAACCGTCGGCCTGTGCTGCGAGGGGTCGGGCACCATGTGCAAGGTCGACCTGCGCTGGGAGGGCTCCAAGAAACTCCGGCGCAGCGGGAAGCCACGGCGGCAACCTGCTCCCCGACTCTGCCCGCGGCAGGCGGGTGTCGGCCCCTCAGGTCGTCAAACAAAAAAAAGAGACTGGGACGAAACACAGAGCCTTCCTCCTCCTCCTCCTCCTCCTCCTCCTCCTCCTCCTCCTCCTGAGCCCTCCTAGAGCCGTTACAACTCCCTTTCTGGATGGGCATGCTGCTTAGGGCAGCGGGTGAGTGGGAAACCGCAACCACCCTGACCAGGGTTCTGATGGTCGCCTCATCCTTAAAGATGGGTTCTAGGTGCCCTCAAAGCCTATAGCGTACCTGGCATTCCTCCTCCTCCTGCTCCTCCTCCTCCTCTCCTCGAGCAATGGGAAAATGGCCGAGAGCCGCAAAGGCCGACGCTCCGACGTGCCAGACAAGTGGGAGATCGCAGGCAGTCACGGTCGGAACCCCAGGCGCCAACTCTCTGCGGCATGCTTCTCGGGGGCGGCCAAGAGGGGGGCCTCCAAGATGGGTCATGGCCGGCGGCATGTGCGCGGCCCAGGTGGGGGGCCAAGGACGTGATGAAATAAGAGGAGGTGCCGTGAAATCTGGGGGGACGTCATGGCCCACGCCATGATATCCACCCTCCCCTAGTCCTTATCCCCCTCTTGGCCGCCCCCGCGCTTCGACGCGGATGGATCTGTGATGGTTGCCGGGGTCCGACGCTGGGCGAGGAAGGCCGGTGTGGAAAATCTCTGCAGCGTCCAGATCTCGAGGCAAGCAGCCTGGGGGGTGTTCCAGGCTGGCCTTAGGTCGGGCATGCCCCCCTGCAGGCGGATCCTGGGCGACAGAAATCCGCCGATCCGGCGTGTGAGTTTCAAGGAGTCTCAGCTACAGCCTCGAGGCTGAGCCTCAGCCTCTGGGGGGGTTGCCGGGGTGGCTCTGCCGGGGAAGGGGGGGTGGGGGGGGGGGGGTGCGAGTTTCCGGCGGATGCGTTTTTTGACACCCCTCACAAGGATCGTGGCCTCCGAGGGGGTTCCGAACTCGAGTACCACCCCTCCCGCACCAAGAGGCTCCGAGGAGGCCTCCAAGAGGCCCCAAGGGGCGCAGAAGAGGCCCCCAAGAAGCCCCAAGAGGCTCCCAAGAGACCCCCAAGAGGCCCTCTAGTGGTCCCAAGAGGCCCAAGAGGCCCCCAAGAAGCCCCAAGAGGCGCCCAAGAGGCCCCCAGAAGTCCCAGCCAACCACGAGATCCCAACCAGCATCCATGAGGCCTCTGACCCACCACCCACGCACGGTGGCGGGATAGGCCGACGGCCACTGGATCCGCCGCCCCCTGCTTGCAGGGGTGCACGGCGTGCTGGACGAGCTGTTAGGTTTTGGTTTTGGTTCTTTTTCCAAAAGAACTCCCCAGTGGGCTCCGGCAGAACCCGCCGGCCACCCGGAAAATCCCCAAACGTGCTCAACGACCGCAAAAAATCCTCCAAAAAACGGCCGTTTCGCTCGGGACATCCTCAAAAATCGCGAAGATGGCCCAAGATGGCCTCCAAGTCCGCCCGAGATGGTCCAAGACGGCCTCCAAAACGGCCCAAGAGAGTCCAAGACGGCCCAAGACGGCCCAAGAGGCCCCCCAGAGGCCTCCCAGACGGCCCAAGAGGCCTCCAAGAGGTCCTCCAGGAGAGTCCGAAGAGGCCAAAATCATTGATTTTCCCTTGGTTTTTGAAGGATTTTGGCATTTGCGCCTTTTCGGCTCTCCGACGGCTCAAGACGGCCCAAGAAGCCCCCAAGATCGCCCAAGAGGCCCCCAAGAGAGCCCCCTGATGGCCCAAGTGGCCTCCAAGATGGCCCCTAGAGGGCCCCAAGACGGCCCAAGAGGCCTCCAACACGCCCAAGATGGCCTCCAAGACGCCCAAGATGGCCTCCAAGACGGCCCTGGAGCGCCCCAAGAGGGTCCCCCGTTGGCCCAGAAAGGCCCCCAAAACGGCTCCCGACGGCGTCAGACGTGCCAGGAACCCACCAAGATGGCCGAAGTTGGCTCGAAGCTGGCCCAAAAGGGCCCAAGAGGCCCCCAAGAGGGCCTCCAGGAAGGCCAAAAGATGCCAAAATCACTGATTTTCCCAAGGTTTTTGATGGATTTGGGCATTTCCCTTCTTTCGGCCTTCCGACGGCCCGAGACGGCCCAAGAGCCCCCAAAGATCGCCGAAAGATCGCCCAAGAGGCCTCCAAGACGGCGACGATGACCATCAAGACGCCCACGTGTTCCCCGAAGGCTTTCCAAACCGATTCGGGGAACACATGGTCCGATGGCTTGGCAGGTCTGGCCTCAACGTTCGGCCACATAGGCGCTTCCACAAAGGCAGGGGGCGGCGGTGATTCGCCGTAGGCGTCTTCGATAAATGCTGAGTGAGAGGAGGGGAGGGAAAAAGAGAGGAGGGACAAGGACGAAGAAGGATCACATCAGTCGGAGCGCCCCGGATCGGCGGCACTGGCCGAAGGCCACTACAATACGAATAGTTGGTTTGGATGTTAGACAAAAAACCCTAGCATGGCCAAAACAAAATCATAGACACATCGTCCCCATACTGTGTTTTGAATATCTTGGAAATGTTCCTCCTGAAGAGGGACACGCCCGACTTCAGGCAAGCAACCTGGAAGGTGTTCCAGGCTGGCCCCAACGGGCCCCCACCCAGGGGCATTTCTGGCCGACCTGATCATCCCGGCGGTCGCAGCGGCGCCTCCTGGGTGCTCCACCCTCCCAGACGTCCAGCGGCTCGATTTGTTCCCGACTTGGGCCCCCGAAGTCTCTCCTCTGGGTGGAGGGGCTGCTTCTGAATCGAAGATTGCTGTTTTCATGGCCCCGAAGCCCGAAACGAGCCTCCCAAAATTGTGAAAGCATGCCGTGCCGCTGCTGTTCGAGCCGCCAGAAGTCTAGGCCGGGCTGTTTCCTAAGACTCTCTAGGCGCAGCCTGGCTGTGCCACCTGTGTTTCTGCGTCTCCAGAGCCCCCCCCCCCGGAAGATAATACACCGCGTCTTAATTCCAAACGGTATATCTTACGACCTACATGTTCTGAGTGTCGGCATGAGTCAAACGCGCCTCTAGTTCCAAGCAGCTGTATGATGTAAGTTACAACGTTTCTTGCGCGCCGCCTCTAGCATGGCGTATCACGAATCGAAAGTTCGCACTTTGCGGGCATGTCGAGAGCGGGTATGCGTGATTCGTACACGGACTGAGCAAGCTGAAGCATGTTTCAACTGCTCGAGTTCCCTGGGCAACGTGTGAGAAATGCTCGGTGATGGGCCCGACACTGCACTCCCCGACTTCCGGGGCGCCCCTGGGCGTTTCTAGAGATCCCAGCGCGTTTTTTGCTACAGGCCTCTGGAGCACGGCTCGGATCCCACGGCTCCAATCTGGCTCTACGTGGTCCCAAGGCCCGTCCTGAGCCCTCTCGGATGCCTCTTTAGCCGTTTTGGAGCCCGAGCACCACTGAACGCCATGAGTTCTGTACAGTTCCAAAGCTCATCGGCTTCTCAATCTCCGGGGCGTCCAAGACGGCCGAAGAATGTCTTCAGTATCGCTTCAGGACGGCTCCCGAGGTCCCCAAGAGGGCCCACGAGGACTCCAAGCGGGCCCCGAGAGGGGCACGAGAGACCGCCAGCAGGGCCCCCAAGCCGCCCCCAGAGGCCCCAGGAGACCTTCAAGGGACCCCCACTGGGCTTCCAAGCGGCGCCCAAGGAGCCTCCCACGAGACCTCAAGAGGCCCTTTCTCCAAGACCCAGGAACGGTGGCGGGATGTGCCGAAGACCACAGGACACATTGCCATCCAATATGCTCAACGCCAGGTTGCCACACAGTTACACGCGTTTCAGATGCTGCCGTTTCGGCGCGGTTCCATGTTTGGAGTCGCGAGGAACGTACAAATGCGACTTGCACACTCGGACACGAGACCTGCACGGGAAAACGCTTGGCATACACGCGTTTCAGTCCTGGCGAACCGGGCGCAGCCATGAAACGCGCTGCAGCGAGAAAGAGTTAGACACGCTGCGCGTCTGATTCATCGAGGCGCCGCCTTCTGTATAGGGGCCCTGGGACACATAAATCAGTAGACAAAAGTAACCTCCTTATATTTTCCCATAGTTTTTTTGGGTTTCTGTCTTCCCCCCCACTTCCACTGGTTTCCCACATTGTCTGGGGAATCGACGATTCATTATGCCTGTGTGTTTTTTTCTCTCCTGATATCTGGCAATCTCTGGAGAGTTCTGCAAGCCTGTTTGGGAGCCAGGCGCAGTGTGCCAATCGCTCGACCTCGAGCATGCGGATATCAATCCTCACTTCTTCGGTTCCAGTGCGCGTCCTCGGAGAAGGAGGAGGAAGAGGAGGATGGGTTCCAAGGTCTTACAAGCCCGGCCGGCTCCAGGTTCTGAAGCTGAGCAGTTGTAGAAAACGCGACCCCCCCAAACACTTGACCGCGCTCCCTCCAGATCGGGTGTCCCCTCGAACACGGATACACAGACATCAGTTTCGCTCACCGAGGCCACGGCCCCTGGCAAATCAGAACAACTGTAGGCTCCCGAAACCACAATCCCTGCCAAACTACGACAGATGCGCGCCCTCGAGGCTGAGGCTGGAGGCCACAACCCAAAGTAATCACAGCATCTCTTTAGGTCGGAGGTGGTCTAGAGAGCATCATCTTCCAACTTCCTTTTTCCCATCCGGGGAGGGGTTTACCCCTACCCCTTCCCCCTCCCCTGGACCTGGGCGGGGGGTCCGCGACGCGTTGGAGCGTCCAAGATGGCCCAGGCCGGCTCCAGGTGGGCCTCGGAGGAGTCCAAGATGGCATCCAAGACGGCTCAAGATGCCTCAACCAAGAAACCTCAAGACCGCTCCAAGACGTGTCCAAGTAGCCCTAGAGCTTCCCCCCGGAAGGCCGCCAAGAGGTCAACATCCTCCCAACACCAAAGGCAAATCAATGTGTGTTGCCTTCTCGCTTCTTCGCTTCCGAT